GTGTGAGGATACGAGTTGGAGGAGGCAGCGCCGTGCGGAACAATGTCGACAATCTCTCGGAAGCCAGGACAAGTCCCAGAGTCTAAAAGAAAGGCAGGAAGGAGTAAGGGAGGGAAAGGAGGGAGAAAGGGAGCGTGTAGGACTGCGACTGAGGGCCCAAGGTCCTGAGGAGGGAAAGCTGAAGTTGAAGGCAAGGGAGGGGTGACGGAAACGCTCGCACAAGACAAGTGCCATGGACACCAAAAGGAAGCACCGCCAAGGAGGCTAGGCCCGTGCATAGTGCACGAGACATTTGCATGCTTAAATGCAAGCGCGAAAAAGTGAAGGCGGAGAAAATCTCTGAACTATTGCACCAAGCTCCCTCCCAACTTCGGCCCCGCCCGACCCTCTGCAGCCTTGTTTACTATTCCTGATGCCTCAAAATGATCTTTTTAAACTCCCTTGGGCCAGTAATTGCACCGTTTACCACATTATACAGTATTTAAATGTGCCTGTGTCCAATTTTGGCGGGGGAAAAGCGTGTATAACGACGCGCTAAGAGGGCCATGGGGAATTGCGTTTACTATTGTAGCCGCGGTAATCGTGTTCCTGTTAGCCTGTTAGCAAACAAATCTCCACACCTGATCATATAAACGTACCTTTACAGGCCAACGATCAATTTTTTGAAGGCATGAAAAGCAAAACACGGCTCTGGAGTGGACACGTATTGTAGTTTGTTCACCATGCGGCTTCGATCGAGCGGCAGGAAGGAGCAGAGGGATCCCACAGCCCTTCCTTGCGGCTCAGACTTAATCCGCTGCGACCCACATTTTTCCTATAGCCTTTCCAAAGGTAATTTTTTACCTTTTATCTTTCCTGCTCCCGCCGCAACATGTTTTTGTGGGTGAGTAAAGTCCTTACCAGTCCCCGACGTGCTGCATTCCTCCCTGCCTCCGCCTCTCTCCTCCCTCCTTCATCCATTGCCTCCCAGTGAAAAGACGACTCATTGCCCGGGCACTTCTCATACGGGTCGCGATGATCCTGTACGCTGTCCTCATGGATATCCTTCTTCCGGATCACCGGGCCACGGTAAATAAAGTCGGGCTCGGGCGAATGGATGCAAACAGCGACGTTGAAGGGGGGATAAAGGGGAAGAAAGGTTGGAAAGGAGCAAAAAGAGAAGGATAGAGGGAAAGCCATATTTGAGAAGCCGCAGGCAAGAGAGACTCCTAGCATGGCTCCCGGGTCATAATCAGGGATGTGTAGCCCCTGGTGCCCCGCCCTCTTGGCCCCCGCTCGCTCCCTCCAGCCCTCTCATCTCCCCTATCTCTTGCCTCTTCTTCTGCCTCTGAAGTGCCCCGCTTTCCTCTTGCATTTCCCTCTTCTACCCATTCGGGTAGTGATTTGCTCCTCCCTCCTTGTTGCCCCCTTTTTTTTCCCTTCATTCTTCCCTCCCTCCCCCCTCCTTCCCTCCTTCCCTCCCTCCCTCCTCCCACCAGGACGTGCACGTCTTCCGCCCTTCCCCTTCCTCCCCCGTGCCCTCTCTACTCCTCGCCTTCACCAAGTGGGACGCTGCCTACTTCCTCTCCCTCGCTCAAGAAGGATATGGGTCCCTCCCCGTCCACGCTTTCTTCCCCCTCTACCCCTTCCTCCTTCGGCACCTCTCCCTCGCTCCAAATCGAAGCGGGGTCCGAAGGTGG